GTTATCTTTAACAATTTATCAGAAGTTTTTCACTTAAACGCCGGTCAATCGATGAAAGATTGTTCTCTTCCCCCCCCCCCCCAAGTTAAGGCATTCTAAATTTCTCTTTCGTGCAGAGTGAAACTCAGGCAGTGCCAAGAGCTCAGTCGGTGGAGGCAAGCAAAAAGGCGTGGTAGCAAATAAGAAAACCGGGAGTAAAAACCAATACCCGGAACAGACTGATAATGCCTCGAGTAAACGAAAGACATTCACATGCACGTGTCCCTAACCCTGTTGTTTTCTCTTCTTTTTGTCAAGAATTCGAGTAAATGTAAATTAATCTAATATATAAGGACAAGCATATGTGGCGCCTAAGAGGGCAAGATGATTGACATTGATGGTGACAACGGACTCCATGAGATAGTGAATGCGAAGCACAATGAGTAGTGAAAATACAGTCTTATTATTTCCTCTTGATATTGGATATTCCTGGAGCCTACTAGAGGATGCTGAATTCAAACCAGTCCGAGACCAGCGAAGACCTCAATCCACGGATTTATTTATAGAACTTCAAGGTTGCTTTGAATCATAAAACAATGGAACTGACTAAAGCGAAAAGAAAGACAATTTGTAAACGTTGAGTGTTGCAAAGAAACTTTTCCTTGTCTTTTCAACGGAAGGTATAAAACAAGGTGGTAGTGTTTTCATCAAAGCGGACCGAGATAAAACTGAATTACTCTTAAGATTTGATTGTAAGACTGTATTATGAAAGGCCTTTGTAAATACCACGTTTAATTTTTTTTCGTTGTGAATTTAAACTTCAAATAATTTCTCAACTCACATCCATTTTTTCTGTTCCTTTAGACACATTTCCTTTCGTTGCAATGGATTTATTTCTTTGTTCCTTCGAAAGCTGTTTCTGCTGTTGTTGTTCCTTTGTTCCTTTTATAGCTTAGACATTCAAGGTAGCGCAAGAGAGATACATAAACGTCTAGTGTATAAAAAAAGCAGAGTGCAATTTACCAAAATGGGTGTGATGAAATCGGTGATAGCGCAAGCTAACTATAGATTCAGAAACCAGTAAAGTAAAAAACCGGTTATAACCGGTCCACTTCCGCCTGTATAACACCTCTTATTATCCAACTACACCTAGACGAGTACAAATAACGCCATAGACGAGTACAAATATCACGCGGTATTTGTACTCGTCTATTGTAGAGTACCGGTTAAACAGATTTTCTCGCATCGCGCAAGCGAAGAATTGGATTGTAGTTACGAAAAAAAAACAAATGGCGGACAATTTGAATTTTATTTCCGACGACGAAGAGTCAGAATGGCTGGCAAATATAGATCCAAGTTCATTAGATGAATCGAACGAAGAAAAACAGCTTGACGACCAGAAAATTTCTTCATTTAATGAAGAAAATAGAAACAGCAACACAACAACGCGCCAATTCCGTTCCGCTTCGCATACTTCTGTCACGCACTCCCCGTAAATAAATATCCGCGAAATTCGCCCGCACTGAAATAACAGTTTGGCGTGTTGGATAATAAATAACTTATTAGACGTTTTGTTGTGTAGTATCGCTGAGTATTTTTACTCGTTATTTGTATTTTGACTCGCCCTACGGGCTCGTCAAAATACGGCACAACTCGTAAAAATACTCAGCGATACTACACAACAAAACGTCTAATAAGTTATTTATTATCCAACACGCCAAACTGTTATTTCAGTGCGGGCGAATTTCGCGGATATTTATTTACGGGGAGTGCGTGACAGAAGTATGCGAAGCGGAACGGAATTGGCGCGTTGTTGTGTTGCTGTTTCTATTTTCTTCATTAAATGAAGAAATTTTCTGGTCGTCAAGCTGTTTTTCTTCGTTCGATTCATCTAATGAACTTGGATCTATATTTGCCAGCCATTCTGACTCTTCGTCGTCGGAAATATGATTCAAATTGTCCGCCATTTGTTT